TTATCTACACAAGATACTCAATATTCATGGACCGGATACCATTAGCAATAAGCTACTCTCGGAGACAAAACAAAACAGCTTTCGACTGAAGAGGAAATTAGGAAAAAAACAATGGAAGTGGATAGGAAATACATTACGGAAGTCAATAAACTTTATCACGAGGTAAGTGCTAACTTGGAATCCTGAAGGTAAACGGAAATAAGAAAGACCACAGAACACACCGCGTTGATAATTGTGATCAGATATGTAAAAAGAATGAATATCAACTAGAAATAACTGGAAAGGATTGCTGAGGACAGAGTTAGATGAAGAATACTGGTGGTTAGCCTTATGATCCTCCATGAGTAGTAACAGATGTAATTAAGTAAGTAAGTAATAAATATCATGTTCTTTTAGTCTATAAGTAGTGATTAGACTAATTTCAAAATTCAGTTGGAAATATTTTAAGAAAATAATTTTATGAGTAATATATGGTATATGCTACTGATATCGACAGGTATCAGTAGTATATATCACCTGTCCAATGTCAAATAACTGATGGTGAAGATTGAAGAAATAAGAGCGAGAGTAGAGAATGATTGGTGTAGAAATGCAGGAACAATGAAATTCAAGACGGTTGGTAGATATTTTGCAAATGAAGTATGTATTGTATGGTTCTCAGAACTCTGATCGGCGGCCAATGCTCCATCGGGAGTAACAGGCGTAAGTAAGTAAGTCTCAGATTTTACGAAGATATCGTGTAATCTTGTGTTTAAATACATTCAACTGTCCCCACTTGTATGTTCTCTTTCACTACAAAACCATTTTTTAATGGACTAGATTACATATATCATATATCAGAAGGGCCTTTTTGTGGAGATTTTAGTAATTTTATAGTTGAATTCAGGAGTCAATGGAAGCTGGGCATCAAAACCGTTGGATGCCGGCGGACTCAGTGATCTGGAGATTTGGCGCTCTTGCGCCAGACTGATAGGTCCTGGGTTCAAATCTCGCTAGGCGGGATCGTGAACGCGTACTACCGAAGGGTACCACAATAGGATGAAACGACCGTCCAGTCCTTAAGTATATATCATTTCAAATATTCTCTGATTATAACAACATGCATAATACTTTATGAAATTGTAACAATGAAAAGAAACATGATCATTCCTGTATAGTCTTTGATGATCTTAAAGTAATACACAATATTATAGTCAATCTCTTTTAGTGGGATCTTTTATTTTGACATCGATTAGATCGAACAACGTTGTCGACGGTGTCACCACCTTAGTGACCGGAGATTTGATTCCAAGTAGGTCGTATGTATGATTTTTATTGAAAGGACTGTTGTCAAAATAACCATGTCGCCAATCTTCGTATATAATTATCGACTTAACTTGAGTTAGTGAATAATGAAATTAAATAAGTCAAATACAAAAATGGATTTCGAATATGTATATTGTATACAATCGTTAATCGAAACAGGCAATCAGAGAGACTTAAGGAAGAGAGGTAGCGAAATGAAACAACTCTCAGTGAAGAAGTCACGTAAGTCAATTCCATCTAATCAAGCAGTAATCAATATTTATAGTCATACAAAAATAGGCTACAGAACTGTAATAAGTAGGATAAGAAGTGTACACATACACATAGACTCATAATAAAAACAGTCCAAGTTGATAAGTAAATAATTAACTAGGTCAAAATGTGACTCATAAAGAATGAATAGACTAAACTGTCTGGATGTAAGAATAAGCTTTATTAACTTAACAATAATAACCAACACTATAGTGAGTTCCTATCTCACAACAGAAGTGGTTTTGAACTCCACTGGTCACTGCTTCTCACTAGAGCTCCTAGATATACTTCTCGAAGTCACTGAGATAGGAACTCACTGAAGACAATTGGTGAATGGTTGCTCAACTTCGTGGATCAGTTGAAGTTAGACACTAACACCGTTGGATGCCAGCTCAGTGGTCTATCGGTTAAGGGCTTCGGCTCGGGACTGGTAGGTCCTGGGTTCGGATCTCGCTCGCGAGAGCGGGTTCGTGGATGCGCACTGCTGAAGAGTCCCATAGTAGGACGAAACGCTTGTCCTGGATTCCACTGCTATCCACTATCCATCTTAGCTTACAATCGAAGAGTTTTAGTTTAAAAGTAAATAACTTTATGTACTAGTACCATATGTTATTTTGTTAGTCCCTTTGTGGTGTGGTCTAGTTATATCCATATAAGTAGTATATGATGATGGTCAGACATAGAATGTATTTTGGCATATCAATAAGGAAAGAACAGAGTCAAAGCGCAATCGATATGAAAATGCATAAACAGTGAAATTATAGAAGATGAACTGATATTTGCAAAAGGAACAGTTAAGATTGAGACAATTGGTTAATAGTTTGCAAATGAACTGTTTACTGTATTGTTATCAGATCATTCGATTGTCCCAACTCGTGTTCTCATTCACTACAAATTGACTGTTTTCAAGTTAGCTATGTGATAGCTATAATCAAATTTAGAAGTATTCAGTAGTTAAGTTCATGTGATACATGTCTTAATTACTCAATTTCATAAAGTGGGAATACGATCACTTTTAGTCATATCATCTAAGTACGTAATTAACTATCAGAGTATCTGAAATTCATTTATAAGGTTGAAACTAATAACCATGTTAACGTGAGTAATTATTTCATAGATTCATTGATAAAGTACACTATAATAATTTTAGTCTGACATTAGTTACAGAAGGCACCAAAATACCCTGGTACGGCCAAGAGTGCGAAGGATCAGCTCTCCCTCACGAAATACTCTCACATGGACATGCCTATACAGGCACTGCCAGGAAAGTCTTACTCACTGCTTTCTCTCTACATTACTGTTGTTTACGAAAATGAGAGGACGAAAAGCAAATATCTAGCACTTAAACGGGGTTGGTGGATATGGAGGATCCACCAAAGAGAGTTGGAAAACCCTGATTCCAAACCGATGGTATACATAGGCTCCAGGATCTTGAACAATTAAATGGCATATGAACCAATTGTTGATTACCGTCTACCATAAGATTTCATCTCCTAACATTTCACCACTGCCCTATGGATCAGATTATTAAATCGAAGGCTGCGTGTGTGACCCCCTAAGTAAACCACCTGCTTCGGTCTAAGCACTCAGGCAGTATCACAGCCTACACACAAATCAAATGACTTGCGTGGCTCATATGTACTTGGTGCCTCTTTCTATTAATATTTATATGATCAAATAAATAAATCAATAAAATAAAGTTACAAAAATTATTGACTTCAATGATTGTACACATTAAAAAACCTTTAAATCAATATTATACTCTAGCGTAACATTTAAAAATTGAATAAATCACCCAACTGCGTCCTAAGACAAGCCCTCACATCGAATCCTCAAAGTCAAAGGAAAAGAGGAACACCAAAGAATATATTGTGGTGTGATCTACTTATATCCATATAAGTAGCATATGGTGTGGGTCAGACATAGAATGTATTTTCGCAGAAGACCGATGAGCAAAGAACTGAAATGAAGCGCAATCGTTTGGAAAATGCATGAGCAATGGAATAAGAGAAGAAACAGTGAAGATTGAAACAATTGGTTGTTAATTTGCAAATTGACTGTTCATTGTTTGGTTATCAGAATTTACTGAGATAGTCTGTAACTTTTGCTTAAATACATTCGATTGTCCCCAACTAGTGTTCTGTTCACTACATTTGGTGTCGCTGCCAACCGGGAGGAGGAAGGGTGCTGTTCTGCGGACGCCGCTGCGGGTCTGGAGTTGAAGTGTTAGTTGGGGCAGTCCGGTGCGGAGAGTTGGCGTCGAGTGGAGTGTTCTGGCGGGGCGGCGTTGGCTGTAGCGGGTGCTGTCGACGGAGAGGAGCAGTGGGACGTGCGGCTGCTGGGCGGACATCGGATGTAGATGGCTCAGCAGGCCGGTGGAGTACGGGTGTTGAACGTCCCAGGTGCCGGGTGGATGCGGATGTTGGTGCCCCGGCAGGTCGACGGAGCTATGGAGGTCAGCGCGCCGCAGACTCGACATTCTGACGGAGAGTTTGGTACAGACTGCAGTGAAAGAAGATAGTGGCATGGCGAGCACCGCATGAACGAATGCTTTAAAGGGGGGGGGCGAGTGTGGTGTGATCTACTTATATCCATATAAGTAGCATATGGTGTGGGTCAGACATAGAATGTATTTTCGCAGAAGACCGATGAGCAAAGAACTGAAATGAAGCGCAATCGTTTGGAAAATGCATGAGCAATGGAATAAGAGAAGAAACAGTGAAGATTGAAACAATTGGTTGTTAATTTGCAAATTGACTGTTCATTGTTTGGTTATCAGAATTTACTGAGATAGTCTGTAACTTTTGCTTAAATACATTCGATTGTCCCCAACTAGTGTTCTGTTCACTACAATATTACTCCGAGAAATAAAGACAGACATAAGAAGAATGAACAAAAGTTGGATAGAATTAGAAAGAAAAGCCCAGGCCAGAGTAAGTTGAAGAATGTTGGTTGGCGGTCTATGCTCAATTAGGAGGAGCAAGAGTAAATAAGTAAGTGACAACTAAAAATCAAGGTAAATCCAATATTTTCATAGTTGAAATCATCAGTCAATTGAAGCTAGACCACCATGGAAAACGTAGAAGCACTGCTTGACGGCCGTTCCGTCCTATTGTGAAACTCCCTACCAGTGCACATCCACGATTCCACCTCACCAGATTCGTACCACACGACTTACCAGTCTAGCACCAGAGCAATTAACCTCTAGACCATTGAGTCGACTGGCATCTAAAGGGGTTCGAATCTCGTGAGGCGTGATCATGGATGCACACTGCCGCTGAGGAATCCCACTATAGGACGAAACAGCCATCCAATGCTTTCAACTATGAAAATACTAAAATCACCACACAAAAAACCCCTTCTGATTAAATCCAATATTACATAACTGATACAATTCATAAAGAATATTATTATCATTATTATTATTACATCATAAGACTTACTTCAGATTGTTTCGACATACATGATAATTTAGATCCCATATTTTATTCAAATGATTAGTGTATAGTAACAATTAGATAGATAGATAGATAGATAGATAGATCCAAACTGAATGATGAAAAAGTATATCCTTTAATTGTTTAATGTTTAAAAGAGATTCCAATATAATGATGATTAATGTTAGTACCGCCGCTGCTACTGTTGTTGCTGTTGCTGTTCCTGCTGCTGCTGCTGCTGCTGCTGCTGCTGCTGATTTTGTTGTTGCCACAACAACAACAACTTCTACGACTATTACTCAGAGCACTATAAATCGTTTCCTTTTTTGGTTTAATGGAGACACTAGATAATTTATATGTATATGTATAGATAGTCTATACACTATGAATTGTATAGCTGTATATATATGTATACTAATCTATGTAACTATGAGCAATCATATCTCACCTACGTATAATCATACATTTCTCATAAGGTCAAATGAACTATGGACAAGATTCTGATAGACAGACAAATTATGATCTTACATAGATATATAGATTGACAATCATTTATTGTTAATTTGTTCAATATTTATTGTAACCATGGTAATTAACCAATCAAAATTGTTCTATTCTAAATGTATATCTAGATAGATAGATAGATATATGTTTCCATATAGATATATAGACATGGTTACTCTTTGCTTAGCAACTTGTAAGTGTTTTCAATGTAACACATTTATGTTTATTCATGTTTACATGTGTCTGTAATATACAATAAAAACATGAAAAAGAAAAAAAAAGAAGATTTATTTCAAGGTGGGATAGTGGATGTGTATTGCTGAAGAGTCTCATAATAGGACGAAACGGGTCGTCAACACAGTGCTTCTAGGTTTTCCATAATGGTCGTCTAGCTTCAATTGACTTATGATTTCAATTATATATAAAACTGATATTCCTTTGATGATAATATTTATTGTATAGAATGGAGGTTTTATGAAGATTGTGATAATTTTAATATAAGAAATGGGGGTTGTGGAAATATTAGTAATTTTTTTAATATAGTTGAGATCATGAATCAATTGAAGCTAGACCATCATGGAAAACCTGGATGGTTGTTTCGTCTTTTTGTGGGACTCTTCAGAAGTGTGCATCCACGATCCCGCCTCATGAGATTCGAACCGAGGTCTTATCGGTCTCGCGCGTGAGCTCTTAACCCCTAGACAATTGAGCTAGCCGACATCCAACTATGTTAATATTTAATTTCAACCGATCAACAAATTTGAACGGAACATCCACCATTGTCTTCAGTAAGTTACTATCTCACAACAGACCTAGATGAACTGTACTGATCACTGCTTCTCACTAGAACTCCAGAAAATATCTCTTGAAGTCAGTCACTAGCGAATATATGATTATTATCAGAAGGGGTTTTTGTGGAGAATATATATAGTTGAAATCATGGGTCAAGTGAAGCTAGAACACTACGGAAAACCTGGAAGCACTGCTTGACTGTCGTTTCGTCCTATTGTGGGACTTTTCAGAAATGCGCATTCACGATACCGCCTTGCGAGATTCAGACGTTTAGTTAATTCTTATCTGAACTGTTTGTATGCTTCAAGAGAATGGTAAACCATTCGATACTGACTCACTAATCTAAGAGTTAATCTTTCACAGGGTAACTTGTAGATGTTGTATTTGATCTCCGGACAGCCTGTGGATACGCACTACTTTAGGGATTCCATACTAAGACGAGAAGGCATATCTACTGGATATGGAACACAACACTTATAAAAATGTTACGGTTATAATTATCTGCTAAATCCTATGTCAATAAATCTCAATACTTCAATAGTTCACACTTCACATTCATTGGAAAGTTATATAAACTTAAAAGAAATATCTGAATTATAGATCCAGATCAAGCTTATGCATTGCTACCTAGTGAATGAACATCATGCTTGTAACCTTTTAAAATCGGACCCTTTAGAAACATAATTAAAATTAGCAATGATGGATAGCGGTTAGCAGTTGAATCCAAGATGCGCCTTTCATCCTATTTGAGACTCGTCAGCTGGACGTACCTACATCACAGAGTTGATATCCACTTTGGGACTCAAACCCAGTATTGTTTGATTCAAACGCCATTGCGTTATCCACTCCGCTACCGAATCCTGACAGCCACTCTCAGGTGCAATGGGGTAAAGTTTAAATTTACTTGATATTGTTTGTTTGAATCTTCCCATTGATGTTTAGGACTGCAACTGGTCAGTCTCTTATTGGCATTTGTGTATACTGTGCGTATTACCTCGATATAGCTTTACTTCACAAGCATTATAAGGTGAGATGTATAATGGCTAGCATTGGAATCCAAGACACGCGTTTCATCCTATTTGGGACTCGTCAGCTGGATGTCCCTACATCTGACAGTTGATGTTCACTCTGGGATCTCGAACCCAGTACAGTTCACTTCAAACGCCATCACGTTACCCACTGATCAATTGCAGCCCCAAACGTCAATACTAACATCATATGGTGTATACAGAGAGTTTAACTATATAATCAATTAAAATGTATTGCTATTAATTACATTGATTATATTTCTACTAGTTACAGTGATTCATAATAAACCCTTGTGTACATACATACCTTATTTGTCTGACAATTTTCCCCCTTCCCTTTACTGTTACCATAGTTACTATTACCATTACTGATTATGTTAAGTGCTATTTAGGATTAACAGTACATATGTTGAATGATATTTCTTTCACAGGATAAATGATTGGTTCAATAAAAGTGCATTATTAATCATTGGAATATGTATATATGTATATATCTATATGTCACAATCAATCTAATAATGAAGAGAATAGGGGACAATGAAGATATCTGTATAGATCTGGTAAAGAAACCGTGACCAGTAAAGTTTAACCAGGTTTGTTGTTATATAGTAACTGATTGAAGACAGTGGTGGATAATAGTGCAATTTTGTGGATTAGTTGGGGTTTAAACATATCAGATTACTGATCTAGAGGTTAAGTGTTCACACACCAGACCGATAGGTCCTGTGTTCGAATCTTGTGAGTAAGATCATGGATACGCAGATCCGACGAGTTCTATACTAGGATGAAAAGACTGTCCAGTCCTGTCCAATGAACCTGTACAATGAATCTAATAATGAAGAGAATAAGGGAACAATGAAGACATCTTTGTAATGTACACGAAATTGGAATAGATCTGGTAAAGTGTAAGGATGGCCCGTTGGTAAACTCAAGGAAGCCTCAAGAAGCCCAGAAAGAGCCGCAGACATTCCATCCAATCACCGCTAGAGGAAAATTCTAGAATGTCGACGTGTAACCCTCCTATTGGTTGAATAAGAAGGACCCCATATTGGCTACCCGAAATGATGATCAACTTTCAACCAAAAGCTAAAAATACATGAGATTTTTGTACTATATTTGACACTGTTTTGGGAATAACATTCCTTCTATTTGTCTTCTGTCTTCTGATTTTGCGACTTCAGAGGGTTCTAGCGTTTGAGTGCTCAAGTATTACGTGACATTCTAAGAATCTAAATTCGAGATATAACATAAAGAAACCCTGACCAGTAAAGTTTAACCAGGTCTGTTGTAAGATAGTAACTGATTGAAGACAATGGTGGATGGTAGCGCGATTTCGTAAATTGGTTGGAGTTTAGACATGCCAGCTTAGTGGTCTAGAGGTTAAGTGTTCACACACAAGACCGATAGGTCCTCTGTTCGGATCTCGCGAGTAGGATCATTCGTAATCGTTTGTGGGTATTGGTAGAGTGGTTGATTAGGCCGATCTCCACCACCCACATTACCGCTCATGTTAGTACATGGGATGGTTGCCGTGATCCAGGAGGCATGACGAGGACGTGTGAGTCGAATTTCGCCTCCCATATCATAAGTAAATTAATTGTCACCAATGATTTTGAATATTCATCATATCATATGGTAAATTTATTGACAGTACCGGTGATTCTAATTGTTACATGTTCACCATAAAACCTGACTATTCTGGTCCAGAGTCCTGATAAAGTAGTTGGTATGCACTGTTGAACGTATCATACTAAGAGGAGGAAAAGTTTCAGTACTTTCTAGTTTCCAGTGGTACTCCGACTGAGGTCAGCCTGTTGATGAATATAACCAACCGACAGATCTTACCTTTCTCTGTACATAGACTAATATCATTTTAAAACTTGATAAAAACCAAAGAAGGCTGTAAAACTAATTCATTTTAGTTAGGGCTTTTATAACAGTAAGCGAGTTTGGTGCATTCGTCAAATTTTCTTAGTTGAAATCATGAGTCAATTGAAGCTAGACTACCAAGGAAAACTTGTAAGCACTGAACGGCCGTTTTGTCCTATTACGGGACTCCTCAGTAGTACGCATCCACGATCTCGCCCCACGAGATTAGAACTCAGGACCAACCAGTCTCGCGCCAGAGCACTCAACCTATAGACCACTGAACCGGCACCCGATGGTGTTAATATTTAACTTCAACCAATCCACGACCAAATTGACAAGAATATTTTTTCATAAAGTTGTTCTTTGCCCTGAAACAAAAATCTTGAAGAAGAACTTTTCATCATATATATTTGCTGAGTCTAATTATAAGTACGGAGACATACGACTGAAGATACCTAATTTCCGTACACATTGTTTTTAAACTTTATGAAGCCACTTGGGCTAACAAAATTTGACAAGCTTCGGTTTAGTATTTATTTGATCCAAATCTAACAAATTTTACATATCCCTATGAGTTTGTGGAGATTGTTGTGTTTTTAATTGAGATCATGGAACGATCAGTGTTAGACCACTATTGAAAACCTGGAAGAAGTGGATGGTCTTTTCGCCCTAATATTAAACTCCTTAGCAGTGAGCATCCACGAACCCAAACGCAAAATTAGAATTTAGGACCTTTGGTATCGAGCGCAAACCATGTGCTCACTAGTTACCAGCTTAGAGAGGTAATTTTCGGAGTTATGGTGAAAAGCCGCGACCGGTAGAACGAATTCGTATGGGATATGAAGCAGTTAC